CTGAAGAATCAACACAGAAGACAAAATAAAGTGTGGTATAATGTAGGTATATTAACTTGCTGTCGGATCCACCTATTAATAATCCCCCTTCTAGGACGTTACAAACATTTTTCATCCCATTTTGACACTAAGTGAAATGTTTCTCTGATAATCTGCTGCTGTGTATCTTCACTGTAGCACTGGGAGAACTTGGAGAGGTGTGGCTTGCCATGGTTGTTGAAGGATGTTAAGGATGGCTTTGATCATGGTGACGGGAATTGGCAAGGCACCCAGAAGACCCTGTGGGAGGGGGTCTGCCCCCTCCCCCACTCTGAGCCCGGTGACTGTGAAGCTCTCTCCCACCCGCCACCCAATGAGGTTTTAAAAATGTAATTTGTGACTGAAGTTGCCATAGGCTAGATATTAAGATTCTTCTTGGTAGAAAGGTAGAACTGTAGGGTTGGATGCATCCCAAGAATCGCCAAGCCCACTCCGTGCTGAAGCAGGAAATCCATAGCTAAAGCAACCCTGACAAATGGCCCTCGAATCTCTGTTTAAAAACCTCCAGTGAAGACTTTACCACCCGTGTAAACAGTTCATTCCACTACTGGCCAGTATTTACAGCTTGAAAGTTCTTAATAATGTTTAGTTGAAATCTCCTTGTAATTTGAATTAGTTTGGGTCTTACACTTGGGAGCCATGGAAAACCTGTTTGCTCTAATTTTCATATGAGAGCCTTTGAAATATTTGAAGATGGCTGTCATATCAGCTTATGTCTACTTTAGGCTGAATCTGTCCAACTCTCTCAATGTTTCTTCGTACATCTTGGTGTCCTGGCCCTTTACCATCAAGGATTTTTGATGTACTTCTTAAAATGGGTTGCCTGGATCTTGAAACAGTATTCCAGGAGAGATCTGCCAAGGCAGAGCAGAGTGATATGGTTGCTTCTCTTCATTTGGACTTCTGTTGATCCCACCTACAACTGCTTTAGGTTGTTTGCTGCAACATTATACTGTTGGGCATGATTAGCTGTGGCCTATTAAAACATCTAGATCCTTTTTGTCTGCACTGTTGGGAAGCAGGTGTCACCCATCCTGTATTTCTGCATCTGATTTTTCCTGTCTAAATGCAGAACTTTCAGTTTAAACTTGCTGAAAGATATTTCCAAGGACTCTCTGGCCAGATTATCTCTTTACCACTCTAGCCCTATGTGACAGACAGGTCAGTAACCACTCCTGTCCATCACAATGGAACCCTGATTCAGGAGCCAATGGTTGTACAGAAGAGGCGGGACGAAGGATATATAAGGGAAATGGAAGACAGTTAAAGTTCAGTTAGGGAGCAGTTAGAGTTTCAGTTACAGTAGGAATGAGTTAGGGACTGGAGTTAGAGAAAAGCAGTTTAGGCAGTTAGGACCAGCCTTGTGTTAGAGAAGAGTAATAGAGAGATAGGGAATAAGAAAAGAAATGAATAAATACCTTGATTAAAATGATTCTACCTAAGCAAAATATGAATGTTACATACATACATAGGCATCCTTCAGTCTCGAGAGACTATGGTAACATGCTCTGAATCAAGGAGTGTCCTCTCCAGAGCATGAAGCCCGGGTAAGGTAATATGGAGGATAGGCTGTTACCCAAGCAGCAGATCCCCCCTCTCCACATTGCTGAAATGGTCCAATGGAAAGGCAAGAGCCAATACAACTGGTTCCAGCTATGTCACAGGAGTTGGCAGAGCGACACATGCTGCCTTCGGGACTCCAGCTCCGGATTTTGCCTCGGGTTAACTCCTTAAGCCCAATTTCTTGAATGAATAAAATAAGATCATCCATGATTCACTTTAAATGATTTACTGATAAACACTTAAATAAACATTGTTTCATTGAATAACACTGATTAATATTTAATAGAGTGGGGTATATATCCTCTGGTGGCAGCGGAAAAGGGTTGAAAAATAAATGTCATACCCGAAAGTGAACCTGGGTTGTGTGGAAGAACACAGGGGAACTGAGAGTGTGTGACACCCAAGATCATTATTTTCTTATGGATTAAAGTGCATTACATATACAGTAGTTGGAATCTTGTGACACTGTATATAGTCATTCAGGGTCTTACAGTAAGTGCATTTAGGTGGCAGAAGGGCATCACTAGAGCAGAGCATGGGAGAAGCAAGTCACACAGTTACGTGTCACAAGTTGTTTCTTTGTGATGAGTGTATGACAAAGTTACATTTCACAAGTTAATGTAGCTGTTGAGATTCAACTCATTCCCTTGGTATCATGAGCCTAAAGAGGGTTTTCTCTCCACCCCCCACGACCCTGAAGTTTTCAGTGGCTGGTTTTTAACTTGGTTTCACCCAGTGGCTTATTCCTGTTTATTGTGAATGAGCTTTCTAGCCATTGTGAACATCAATGTTATACAGTGGTGCCTCACATAGCGATGATAATCGGTGCAGCAAAAATCGCTGCAAAGCGATTTCGTCGCTATGTGATATTAAAAAGCCCATAGGAATACATTGAAACCCCTTCAATGTGTTCCTATGGGCTTCAGACTCACCTTTAAGTGAAAATCCTCCATACGGTGGCCATTTTCGCTGCCCGGTAAGCAAAGAATTCGTTCCAGAAAACAGCGGGTGGCCATTTTTTTTAACCCAGCGGCCATTTTGGAACCGCCGATCAGCTGTTAAAAAATCATCGCTTTGCGATGATCGGTAAGCGAAACAGGGTACCGATCATCGTAAAGTGATTTTTCCCCATTTAAAACATTGCAATGGGATCGCAAAAGCGATCGCAAAAAATTCGTCGGTATGCAATTTCATCGTTAAACGGGGCACCCATTAAGTGAGGCACCACTGTATATAGGCTGAAATCCAGGAATAGGTCACAACCAGAGTAGGGCCATTTGAATCAATGGAATCTATGGAGGAGTAGACTCACCAAATCACCACTGTTTCAGTGGGCCTACTCCTTGGTGTAGTAGTCATAGACTTAACAAAACTGGAGCTGTTTGGTTTGGTTATCAGTATTTAGACATTTGAACCCAACTCCAAGATTGTGCTGTGCAGTGCACTGTTTCCATGAGTTGAAGCCAGCAGTTTTAGTGGTAAAAAAATCTGACAAGCTTTGCTGATTGTAAGAGAGAAATATAAGCCTTTCATGAGAAATAGAAAATCATAGTGAGTCTCCCCCAAAAGTAATACAGTTCCCTTCGTTTTGTTTTGTTTTATACTCCTTCATATCTTGTTCAGGCTGTGAATTTTGCAAGAACAGTGTTGAATCATCCTTGTTTGGATGAGCTGAGATTGGACATGAGGGAAATTTGGTATGTGAGTCCCAACACAAATTATTATTTTTAGTCTGCTGTGTTGCTTTTAGTTCAAAGATGTGATCTATTGATGCGAAGAACAACTCTTTGCTATAATTTTACAGAATCATTTGCTGGCTTAAACTTGCAAAAAACTATCTAAAATCTACAGTTGCCTCATTTGCAATATAATGAAGCAATTACATTTTTCATTTTGTGTGGGAAATTATTGCAATGGGAAATATTAAAGCTTGTGGCAGGATTTTAGAAAAACCAATGAGTGGTTTATTGGATTGGAATTTGGATGTGAAAGGAATTTTCTTTCAAATTATGTGCAAACATCTATTCCATTTAAATGAATCTTGTCACGCTGTGTCAGAGATAGAGAACCTGTGACTCTCTAGATGTTGTTTGACTGCGATTCCTATGATAATGATAACAGGTATTGTATTCTAATAAACTTCTGGAGAGCCTCAGGTCCCACACTTTCCTGCAGTTGACACTTGTTTAGAAACAGACATGTTCACTGGCTTCCTCACAAGTCTTGAAATTATTTTTTTCCAGAGACTCTGTGAGATCTTAACAGGAATTATATGGTTGGAATCCTGTTCATGTAGCTCTTCATGTGTGAAGAAATGACATCATCAGCCAGTGACTTTAATCTTTAATTAAAAGTTTTTTTGTTCCCCCCTCACACCTGCAATTCTGAGATTCCCCAGGAATCCTTTTTGATCTAGGGAAGCCTTTGGGATCCTTGGGATGGTGGAGCTATGCAAATAGGATACCAGCCTATGAGTCTTAAATACGACAACATTCAAAGCAATTATGCATTTCACCTTAAATATAAGGTATATCTTGAGGCAATTCAATTCTACCATATCTAAATATTTATCAGGAAACATGTGAGACAGCCACCTCAGAAAACTCATTTGCCTCAAGCAACTAATTTGGCGTCATGAAAAAAAGTCTTTAGTTATTCAGTGTGATTATTCTCTTTCCTGCCAGAAATAGGGAGCATTTATAGGTTTTTGTACTGGTCTTGATGGCTGTCTAATGTTATGGGTACTACAATCTTGTCTCAAGAGAGGGGTGCCATTTGCTTCCCCACCTCAAGCAGCAAAACAGGATGATACTGGATGTACAGGTGGCTTGTGACTAAATCAAGTGCTCACCTACCTGAAATTTTTGAATGAGACTCTTGCCAAGCACATGTCACAAGCCACTCTCCTTTGAGGTTAGATTTAGAAGCTATAAAGTACAGGTAAATTAATAAAACAAAGAAAACCACTTATGGATTGGTTTTGGATGATAAATTGAAATACAGAATCTATGAGGATATGGGGCATGTTCAGCACACTATTCACCAAATGCACCTTGGAAGACACTCTGGAATTTCAGAGTAAGGTGCCCCTCCTGCTTGGTCTATGAGTTGTCCTTGGTCTTCAATTCACAGGCATTCACCCATTCTGTGTTCCACACCCAACATACGTCTCAGTCTGAAACTTATGGAATGCTACTACAGGAGACCCGGTTCTTTTGCATGTTATGTTGCAGCCGAAGTGAAGAGCATAGATAGAGCTACTCATTCTTGACATAGGGACACCAGCTGATCTCCTGTGTAGCTATTGCTCCCCTTCAGTAAATGAATTGGATTACAATGTATTGTTCTGCTAACTTTAATTTGCTGCCTCGTTCTACATTTTCTTTTTCCTTCGGCAGTTGCATTTTCAGGCCTTGGCTTTACCACCTTCTACTTGGCTGGGAAGTTGCATTGCTTCACTGAAAAAGGTCGTGGGAAAAGCTGGCGGCTCTGTGCAGCCATTCTACCTCTGTATTGTGCCATGATGATTGCCCTATCACGCATGTGCGATTACAAGCATCACTGGCAAGGTGAGCTCTTGTCCTTGCTGTTTATCTGCTACATTAAATCTAAGTTGTATAGACTGCTATGGCACTAATGAGTCATAGGTCTGATTCAGTATCAGGTGTTATCTGTTAGCAGAACTGACTTACAGCAACCCTATTAGTGTTTTCAAGGTAAATGAAATATTTAAGGAGTGGGTTTACCAGTTCCATAACACAGTGAGTTTCCATGGCAAGCCAGGGAATTGAACCCAGATTTCCTGCATCCTAGTCCATTACTTTAGACCACACTGGGTATCCCCAGTATAGGATACCCCTGAAAATTTTTAATACTAAAATGAGTAGAAGGTGGAGGGCAGGTGGGGGGTCCTAACTCCATGTTATTTGGATGTAAGTTACACTGAGTTCAGGTAGGCTTACTTACAAGTACATTATCATTGGATTGTAGCTTCAAAGAAACGTCTTCTAAGATAACAACTATCTCACTCAGTCACCTAAAGTCAAGTGACACATTCATTTTCTGTGTGTTTCTTTCATTTGAAGTGCATTTTAGAAACTAACAAAAATTGTCCATGTGTTATGGAGGAGGGAATCTTGTTCAGCACCCTAGTTGATAGGCATAGGACAACATTAATTATTTTCACCACATGGCTAATCCAGTCCAGATCAGGGATCCTATACCTGCAATGCAATGTCAAAAAAGGTTCCAGAAAATGAAAATGGAGATACTGTAGAGTTTTTATGGAAGTACAATTCACAGATGCCAGGTCCCCTGATCTCAAGTACTCAAATTCATTGTGTTGGATTCCCAATCCATTTGTAACCCTCCTCCCCATGCAGTTTGTAAAGGAACGCTCCTTACAATCACAACCTGAACTGCACAAAAAAGTTAAGATGTCCATGTAGGCATCCTTCAGTCTCGAGAGACTATGGTAACGTGCTCTGTATGGAGGTCTTGGAACAGTGTCTCGTGTGACTGAGAAGGCCAGTTCCAAAACAAACAGTGTCTCGTGTGACTGAGAAGGCCAATTCGAGAGTGACAATCTCTTCCACATTGAAGACAAATACAATCTGTCCCCTGTCCAGCTCCTTGGTTTTGTTTGTTTTGGGACTGCCTCTTTGCCTCGGTCTGCTGTACAAGTGTCTCTTCAAATTGGGAGAGGCCATGACGCACCGCCTGCCTCCAGGCTGAATGCTCAGACGTCAAGGTTTCCCATCTGTTGAGGTCCATTCCTAAGGCCTTCAGATCCCGCTTGCAGATATCCTTGTAACGCAGCTGTGGTCTCCCTCGGGGGCGGCTTCCCTGCACTAATTCTCCATATAGGAGATCTTTTGGAATTCGACCATCAGCCATTCTCACGACGTGCCCAAGCCAACGCAGACGGCGCTGTTTCAATATTGAATACATGCTGAAAATTCCAGCTCATTCTGGGACTACTCTATTTGGAACTTTGTCCTGCCAGGTGATACCAAAAATGCGTCGGAGACAGCGCATATGGAAGGTGTAACCTGACCCTTATACACATGGGTTTGAAGTTAGGATTGTCATTTATGGATAGATTATTAATCCATCAGAGTCTTCCACAGTGTAAAACTGTGGGAAGCAATTCTATCTGTAATATCCTGCTCTCTGATTTCCCATGCCACCTCCAGTGCTGTTTTCGTGGTTCCACAATGAAACAAAGAAAAATTTCCAGGAACAAACTGAGAGGTAGAGAAAGGAATAATGTCAATAATCCCTACCACACATCAGTAGGACCATCTTGTAAATTGAAATGTCCTTATGAAATTACTTTTACAATGTTCCACTGGCCAATCTAAAAAAAGGTATGATCGATCCCTGCTCTGTATGCACTCTCTCCGTTCTCTGTGGTTTGAGACATCTGCGGATGAATGCCCTCATTGTGCCATACTGGGAAAGTGAGAAATAGTAACAAAAACATGTTCCTCTTCCATTTTGGAATCACTTATCAATATTATACGTATTTAACCTATAAACTAACTTGGAGTGCACTATATGGAAGCAGTGGGTCACCAGTGGCTTACTGAATGTGATTACAGTCACTGAATAGAAGATGTTTGCCAATGCTGTATTAGAAGGAAGGAAGGAAGGAAGGAAGGAAGGAAAAGAGTATTGGTTTATTTCTATATCTGCCTGTATAGATACAAATGGTATAGAATGGTTCCCTGATTAGGTTCAGGATCTGATCTGGTAACTTGGATTTTGGCAGTTTCATTTTAAGGATCATTCCTATCAAATGCCATCTATTTGATGCAGCCCCCCCTCCCATTACCTTTAGCATTTGCTTTAATATGTTTTAGGTTTGTTAATACATGTGTCGCTTTTCTGTACTGCATTATTGTTTGGAATAAATGTGTGGTGCTTGTGCACTAAGATTTTTTTCTATAAGATAAAGCACACATACTAAGTAAAACTGATTGAAATCCAAATCAAAAGTATCATCAAAAACTAACATTTCAGAAGGGGATAAGGGAAAGTGTTCATGAAGTACTACCAATAATACTGACATTGATGTAGCAACTCATTAAAAGTGTGAAGATTAAGGAATGATGGAATTGTTTTGGGAAAGAATTAAGAAAGAGAGATCATTCACAATCTGGTCCAGACTTGATTCAAACCCAACCAATCCACTTTAGTCTTGTTCCAGATCAGCCCGATTAAGTTTTGGATTCAGCCAAATTGGTTGCACTTGTTTTATAGATTGTCTGTAATTTAGGCATAGTGTTTGTGCTTGTATACTGTCTGCATATATTAGATTGCAACTGCATATATTAGTTTGATAATATGTCTCATAACTTTTACAGTATTAATACATTGCAAAACATCATGAGTGTTGACATTTGCATTCCAGACAAATCCTGTGATTGTCCAGAAGCTCTGCAATGAGCAAGTGAGTGCTGGTAGTCACCAAAATGTGTTGTCAACATGATTCCTGAGTGTGTATTCAAGAAATTGAGAAATGCTTAAATATTGTCAGGCACTCACAATATTAACATGTTCGTTATAGCTTTCAAATGTCAACCTTCTCTAAATGCTAGGCACCCTTTCAATCATATTATTGCAAATTATGGAATTGCATCATCTCCATAGGTTTGTGTGATTTTGTGGGTATATTATCCTGTGGTGTTTTTTGTTTGTTTGGTTTTTTACAAAGAAGTAAAGCAGATGATTATATGAATCCTCCTAATGCTGAGTTTGTGAAAGAAAATTGAAACAAAATAAAAAACAAAAACCTCAGAAGGTTCTTATAGAGAGTCCAAGGAAGTCTGTTTCAAGATTTTAATTACTTATGGTTAACAGCCATCTGATAGGGATTTGAGAGTGTCATTAGATTCATCAGTCATCTGCTGTGGAGTAGGCTTTTTGTTGTTCTTGTTTTTGTTTCCTGAGCAGGTAAGAGATATATAATGTGTTCAGTTCCCCACAGTTTTACCATACATTTACCGTACAGGTGAGAAATCTGTTCTTCCAGAAGCTAGAATTATTCATGGAGTGAGAAGTATGCTGTGAGGCAGATAATTACAGCAATGTTTTATGTACAGAGAAATAGACTACCCCCCAAAGGGACTGCTGTTGTGTCCATTACTGCTGTGTGTGCTCATCTTTGAAGTTTAAGGAGGTAAAACTGGAAAAACTCTGGGAGCCGTTTTTGGTGGTTGTTGGTTTTTTCTTTTGTTTGTGTTTGTGTTTGCTTGCTTGGAGGGGAAGCCAGGGACTTATGTTAGCAACGTGCTTTTTTTCCTGCAGGTCACCTTAGCACTACCTGAAAAGACTGCATCCTTAATAGGCACACTAAATCATACAGTAAAACACAGCCACAGGTTTGGCTGCTCAGCCACTGTCTGTTATGCTGAGAGAAGACAAGCAATTGTGTTGAATTAGCTGTGGTGGCTTTGTGATAACAGCCTTAACTGCCCGGTGGGGAACAAACAAGGGCCATCAGCTTAGTGCATATGGGGCACAAGGTACTGTAAATGAAAAGCAATTGGGATTGCCTTGCACTGAGAAGCCATAGATAAACTATGACTAAATTAATACTGTGAGATTCTCTGAGCTCTAATGGAAAAAATAAAGTATTTTTAGTTTTTGCATAGATGCTGGTACCATTATGAATTCCAAGCATGTAGGTAATTCTTTTTAACAAGGTTGGGTGTTTTTTGTTTCGTTTTTCCATTACTGAAAAGAGTGAAGTTTATTTTACCAACAAGGTACACAGGAATAACTATGATGGATAGAAGCACCACTGACGGGACTGAATCTGGGAGAGCAGCCTCTTATTTGTATTCTTACCCTTTACAGGGTGAGTGGGTGGGATGCCTGAAAAGAAAACAACTTGGGTATGATTCCAAAAAGTTGAAAGTTATGAGCCTTTTTCTTTAAGGGAGATAATGGCTCTCAAGTTTGCCAGCTGCTTGGTGTATACTTCAAAAAGGAGGCCTCTGAATCTCCAGCAGGGTCTCAATTATTGTGGTCAAAAAGGAAAGTGACATAATGTGTGTGTGTTTGAAGTATAGGGTCATCCATGTGTCACTCTAGAGATTAAGGGCAGAGGGGGCGGGGAGGAAGAAAATAAAATAAACATTGCTTCCTTGTTAGTTCAAAGTTCTCCCAGATTTCAATTTTTGGAGTCTCTAATTCTTTCATACCTCAGATATGCAGACGATACTACTCTGATGGCAGAAAGTGAGGAGGAATTAAAGAACCTCTTAATGAGGGTGAAAGAGGAAGCTCAACATTAAAAAAAAAACTAAGATCATGGCCACTGGTCCCATCACCTCTTGGCAAATACAGTGGTACATCACTAGACGACGACCCCACTAAACGACAAATCTGCATAACAATGACTTTTTGCGATCACTATAGTGATTTGCAAAACAATCATTCCAATGGGCGATTTTCGTTTGCTGATAACTTGGTCCGTGCTTCTCAGACCATTTCTTCGCAAGACGACGATGTCTACAGCTGATCGGAGGCTTCGCAAAATGGCTGCCTGTGTTTTCTGGAT